CATTTTTTTCGATGGTATAAACAAGTTATTTGAGAGATCTGAAAAATGTATTAGGGTTAAGGGAAAATATATTGAAAAGGAAAAATAGTTTGGTGTTTAATTTCAACCTCCTTCACACTTATTCCGCGAACTTTTTGACCTCCCTTCGTAAATATATCCCATAACAGAAGCCTTAAGTTGCTATCCCACGATGTGCGTTGTCGCGGTCGAGGCTGCGCCGCGCAGGGTTGCCAAACGTATTATAGATTTAGCTGTCTCTATACATAATAATGATAATACGAATAAGCATGCATTTAGTGATGGCATAATGAATCTGTACTTACTGAGACGATCCTTTGTGGAGTGGACATTTATTCACTTTCCGATAATATTTTTGGTATGTGCACATGACACAAACAGTCAAACATTGTTCAAATCTCATATAAAAGAGTATGAGGTTTCTTTTTACCTCGTATTATGTATAGATACTGATAAATTACGAACACTACAGTTCTCATACGTTTGGCAACCATGCGCGGTGCGACTTCGCCCGCGATAACACACATCGTGGAACAGCGCCTTTACAGTGCTTACTTTGGGGCTAGGCTAATTGGTGTGAGTGTTGGAAATATTTATTTATTTAATGCTGCGAGATTAGGAATAGTACAACTTCTTGCATTGCTCCATTAATTTATATACAACTAGTCTAACCCAATTCTGCATTGTAGCTCTCAATCCTTGGCTCACAAGAGCTAAAATACATTCGCTACATCATACCACCCGAATTTATTTCATTAGCATTTAGCTGGACTATTATCCAGCAAGGTACATGACATGGCTTGGGCTCGGCATTTTTGACCACTATAGAGTTTTTGGATTATGTAAATAGGCTAGATGCAGGCGATGATGAATCATGTATACGTCAAATCATGCATCAAATCAAGCACTTAGGTATACTTATCGATTTGTCAAATAACCTGATAGCCAGATCAGGACTACCAGTCCCGGTCCCAAATGACTACCGATTCGTATGAAGATATATAATATGACCTACTCTCTTCTAATAAACAATAATCAACCTAGGAAAGATTATTTGATTACAATCCGACGCCTATAGACCCGTAATGAGTCTATTTTTAAGGATTGTTGTTGTACTCAATGACGATGTTAACTAACTTACAAATATTGTGGTAACGTGAATTTATGGGGTACCATGCTACCTGACATTTTAGTTGGTCTATGTGACCTCTAGGCATACATACCAATATCAACGTGCACTGCACTGCGGTTTAGAAAAAAAAAATTGTGGCGGGTCAATAGGTCAGCTCCCATACAAAAAAGTTCGAACCTTCTGTCCTAAACATTTATTACTTTCTTTTCAAAAGATTGCGGGCTTAATAAGATAATTTTCAGCGTTTGCGGTACTTAACAAATAATATTCACATTGGATCCATGAAATGAAAAACATTTATAAGACCCATGAAAGAATTATTGTTGTTTCCTAGCATACTCTTGGAGATTCATGAGCAAAATTTGTGTATTAGGTACACTTAAAAAAACAAATACAAACAGCTTCTTTTGTGCGTATCATATTTGATGATAACTAAAGTTTAATTAGCTATCATCGCCATCAAAAAAGCGCGCATCGAAGCGAATTTCGGAAACGTAACAAACCAAATTCGAATTATCTCCGCAACTTATTTAATGTACATTTTTCCTTCTGAGGTAAAAAGAAGAAAGACGTACGAATTCCGCTGATTATCGACTCGGAAGAAATATGCGCATTACATTGCGGAGATAAGGGTAAATTTGCTGTCAGATAGGTACTGTTTCTGTAATTCGTTGCGATGCACTTCGATGTTGCGCTAGAATGAATTGACCATTAGTTGTGTTGTGTGGTTGTTTTTTTTTTTACCTTTGTGGAATCTGTTAAAGGATTTTAGCACCAATGACCGACAAGAACCAATGATCGTATTTTTTTCTGTGATCAATAAAAGTAAGAGTACGTAACAGTACCCTTAGTACGAGTTTGAGCTCACGAAAACTATGATAGTTTTCGTAATTGTAAATAATGTTTCTATATCCATTTTGGTGAAAAGTAACCAAATATACTTAAATTTAAGAAGATGCAAATGATTGAATGATATAATTTAAACACTGTTTATTTGTATTGAAACGAAAACAATCATAGTTATCGTAATTGTAAAACTCGTAGGTACTAAGGGTACTGATCATCGAATGTCATAACACCAAGCTATAGATTCATTGATCACTGAAAATATGTCATTTGCAAATCCTTGAAAGCTATGTCTAGAATCTAATGCACAATGGATAAAACAACAAACACAATACCTGTTTTTTAAGCAGCATGCACTTGGTATATTATTGTTTTTTATATAAACTTGTTTATTTGTAAGAAGTGATTAATACATAGTGCAAAGTGCATTATGCTTCATAAATATTGTCTTGAAAACAACCAATATCATCGCTATCAAAGACTAATTTAACATTGGTTATGTGTAAGCTGTCATTTACAATTTCAAGTGACAAGTTGCCCCACAATCAATCACTTACAATATTTTCTGAAACTGCATCCCAATTAAGTAATCATGCCAAGCTAATTCTGACCAGATATATAAACATACATAACAAAATATTACAATTTCATTGACTTTCAGAAATCTAAAAACAGATGCTTTTTAGTTTTTATCTTAAGTTATGAAAAAAATATAAGTATTTGACAGTGAAAGAGAAGAAGTAAATTAAACATGTGGAAGTGAAAATGAAAAAATGTAACAGATGTCTCAATTGAGTTTTATCACTGGTGGCTTCAAATAGTGTAATCCAAGACAGGGAGATAAAATTTGAACCTGTGACTGTGAGCCACTTTGGGTGGTCTCCTTTTGTTTGCTCTACAATTCCTTTGTTTGAGAATGGTGATTTAAAAACTTTTAAGAAAATACTATACTTCCAGACCCATCCATTGGCCCCCTTAGTGTTATAAGTTTCAATGGTCTGTAGCAAAACTATGTGTTTATGGTTGAGAAATATAAAAAATAGATATAAAAAAAATATAGAAATAGGTATAAAAAATAACAGGAAAAGATGGTTAATAAGTCAGGTTCAAAATTGCATAGGTACTTCTCAGTATCTTTTGTTTAATGTAACATATATTATTAGCAAGGGACCGTCAAAACTTAATATGTTAGGTGGGCCAATTGATGTGTCGAAGTGTATTTAGAAAAGAAAATTACAATTGATTTGATCTACCTCCTTAAACGCTATTTTAATGTTCTTTATCTTTTGCTTGCATTTTATTTTTGTTTTTTAGAATATTTTAGTTGGAAATAAATACTAAAGATATTAAATACCTAGTTCATATTTAGTTTATTTATTTGTGTCTTAAATAATTTCCTTACTCAGCATATGAATTACATTTTAATTAAAATCTTGTTCATTAGTATTAAAAAAAAAACGAAATATAATTACTTAACTAAAAAAAAAAATATTAATAAAAATAGAACCCACTTTAAAAAAGCTGAAAATGAAAAAATAAGATTAACATACTGGTGCTGCTCTTTTTTTCTTTGTCCTTTCATTTACTTTCATAATTTTAAAAAATTACATCATCAAACCTAAAATGTAGGCAAAGATGGATTATCAAAGGAAGGTTACCAAACTCATGTCTTAAAGGTTATCTACTACCAAGAAACTAAGGATATCTACTTTGAATAAGAATTAATAGTTAGAAGAGAAATGGATGTCTCATTAAACTCCTATATCATAACTGGCCTCAGCTGGTGATTAGAGGTTCGAGATTCCTTCGATGCCATTCCAGACATAACTTGGAGATGTGACCATCTTCCGGGCACCTGTTGACCTTATACAATAGGGAGTCGAGGCACCAAGTTCGGCAACCACCAGTTTGCCATCCAGCCTACAGCTTCTTAGCTTAACCATCGCATTATCATTAACCCTTCAACATAATTCTTTTGTTTACCTTGACTCTTTGGAAATCCATTAACACACCACCAATAATTAAACAAAAGATGATCTTTAAAACATGTAAAGTTTATTTTTCTTTCATTATTGTTCTTGTCCGTAGCTATATAAAATTAATAATCACAAAAAAACAATTTCGGCACAGTTAGTGGAAAACAATGTTCAATAACAAACAGATGATAAATTAATAAATTATACATCATTACATCAACAATGATTCTTCCAATAACAGCTATATTGACATTTATCAAAGAATCAGGGTGGTTGATGTTTATATTTAACCTACTATGATGTTCGATGTTTTGCTACTAACACCTTGTGATCATGAAGCAATTAAAATCAGTGTCTGCCCATAAGTAACCAGTTAGTTGTTGAAATTTGTTAAATGAAAATTATGCTGTGCCTCTTTTGTGCTGTGCCTGTGTCTAAAATTTTGTGTAGGTAGGCAATCTAAAAAGTAATGAATACAAAGTTCTTAAATTATTATTAGGAACAAAAAGAGCAAAATCTGATTTTGTAAAGCTAAATAACCAAAACTGTTCGAAAGAAGATTCTTAATCAAAATTAAGTTGAACACCCAATTCATATTACAAAATTGCAAATCAAACAGTTTGCATATTGTACAAAATTTATGAAAGTACTGCACTTAGTTCAATGATAAAAGTCATGTCTTATAAAATGATTTTCACTTGTATTTAGTTTAAGGCTAGTGTTTTAATTATCCAATGAGTTAATAAGATTACTTTCAAGTAAAACATGAATATTTTTTTGATTAGTGTATAGCAAATAGTGTAAAACAGGCTACAATAAAATTAAGATCTTAGTATTGCTTTTTTAGGCAGTGTGTTTGCCCAGGATATTTAAATAGTTTTAAAATCAGGCGAATACAGCATTAAGTCTTTTTGACCCAATGCACTGATATCGTATTTTTCAAGTGGGTACCTACAAAGATAATTGAAGGGAACATTCGACCTCGTAAATATGTGTCAAAGTACGATGAACGCCTTCGTAGAACTTACCGTAAAATGCTTATTGGCGGCACCTTGCTTCCCTGTGGAATGCGTTGCAACCGAAGTCCGCATTCGCTATGCAAGCATTAACCACTATTTTATTCACGTTTCGAAAGTTTCCTCCACGGAAACCGGCCACGACAACAATCACTGGTCACACTGTAGGGTCCCACAAGTAACCTTCCAGGAGCGATGCAACAAAACCACACCAATCTTGTCTAATTCACTATTTTACAGACAAAAGGCACTGGGATCATGTGAAGAAAACTGTTCGTACAGCACTGTTTTTGAATGTTCGCCTAGATTACGATACTATTCAGTCCAGGTATGTAAACATTCATAAATATTCACACGCGAGTGTACACTATTCAGTTTATTTTTGTAAATATGACAAAAAAATACAGGAAAGAAACGTCAATCGCACCGCAAAAGCAGAAAAACACAAGACGCGCAGCTGGCTAGCTGTTGCCTCTCGCTTGACTGCGGGTGTGCGGGCGGGTAGAGGAGAAGAGGGGCAGGCGTCCACCGCGCCCCCTATCCTTCCCGTCTCGTCTCGCAGTCGCAGTCGCAACGCAAGTCATTTCATTATTACGTTACGTTCATTTTATTTTATTTTGAGGTGCGCTGCGTTCTCTATTGGGCTGCGCTGCGTGCCCGGAGATTATAGGTAGATGCTTCTACATTGCAATGCACACTGCCTGCTTGCAATAAAATTACAGGTGCCGCCAGCCTGTATCTTATTAAGAACCAGAAAAGTATCGTTGTTATGGCTATAACGAAAAGCTACTACCTACCTATTTAACTGTAACGAAGGTGAAGATGAAGTGTACTTATATTCTGTATTTCAAGCATTTATTTAACTTAATCTAGATGTTTAGAACTCTACAGAAAAATTAACTGGAAAAAATTACGCAAGTACCAGGGGGCCGTTCAAGTACTTACATATTACGTAAGCAGATTTATTACAATTATTTACCCCTCCTCCTCCTCGTCAGCAAAAGTAAGCAAAGCTCTTACCCCTCCCCCCCATCCTTACGTAAACATTGATACCTATATGCATATTTCCTTTAATGTATTCTGTTTTTTTTATTGATTCATGAGCTTTCATGAGCTTCATGAGCAGCAGTACTTAATCGATGATGCTGACGTAATCACCATCTCTACTCCCCACCCCCCCATGTCATCAAAAATAAGCAAAGCAAAGACCCCCCTGCCCCCCTATATAGTGCTTACGTAATACTTGAACAGCCCCCAGGCAGCAGACGGGACTCTTGCACCCTTAGCTATCCGGGCGAATGCACTGACCATTATACCGCGGCCCTGACGGCCGTGTTGGATATTCGCCGAAAGCGCCATTCCTTCGCATTGTAGGTAGCCCACAATGTCAAATTAATACCTTTACAAGTATTTAAACATTTGAAAGAAGAAATTGTAGATCTAAAACTATAGGATCTCATTCAAAACAATGCGAAATAGTGCCGATTATATGTACCCGATTATTTTAGTTGTATTGGATAAACGGTTCGATGAATCTGGAACGGCATTCACGAATGGAAATGTAAACAAGCATCTGGCTCGCTACTGATGAAAGCATGCTCACCCACCGGCGGTTGTTGGCCTTCGTTAAATTTTTTTCGCACAATACACATTTTCGAAAAAGCATTATTTCACACGGAACACTTTACCTCGTACCTACAATTTTCGTGAAAGCGATCCTTCATTGGCGATCTATCATTGGCAGTTTCTCCTTTACGTCCCGGATAACCACCCCCGTCTGTAATTATGCGCAGTTGCCGGCAGATGAGACCTTTAAATTCTGGGTTGCAGGGAAAGTGAAGTGTTAATGCGACAACTTGATCATAGTGTATCGTTGTTTTCGACTTGTGATCCGGGAAGACATTCTGTGAACTTTGTCTTCGACCTCGTGTTAAACGGTTTACAATGTAATTGGCCATTATTGGTCGTGATACCGTATTCACCTGTTGACTCTAGACTAGCAGAGGTCTTACATTAGCGAAAGCCATCATTTGCCTTTGTCTGTTGTTTTTTTTTCAGATAAACAAACAATACACTCTACCCTATTTTGTAGAGCGGAAGCAGGGTGCGGCTTGGGTGCGTCCTTGAAAGCACATCGTGAATTGGAACCGGAAGCTTCTTATTTTTTGTATTCGATAGTTTTTTTTTTACTATATTTAATTGAATTTCAAAACCTCATCAAAAGGATGGATATAGTCCACGTTATGCAGACCTTTTTAGAAGTGTGCATTATTGAAAAGTTAAACAGTAATATTCTAGCTAATAAAATAATGAAAAAAAAATAAGTACGTATTTTGTCTTTTGTGAGTTTAAAAACCGAGTGAATGGACACAAGTCTCTCTTATTTAGGGTTACCAGGCCTAAAAATGCAAAATCCTGTCTGACATGTCTAAAAATCCTGTTTTGAAAAAAATGACCGGCACACACCTGTATTAAATAATAATAGTATTTAAGTTATGTAAATATTATTTATACCTATATTTTTGGTTGCTGGAAACCGCATGCAAAAAGTTGTTTTTTCGTGGTGTGGTTGCGTTCCAGGTAGGGTTACCATCCGTCTGGATTTGTCCGGACGTGACCGGACTTTTAGCCTCTTGTACGGACTTTGTCCGGCTTTTTAATTTATCCGATTTGATTAAATAAGATGGTATATGAGTAAAACTACTTATTATGTTATTTCAAATCAGTCAAATAATCTTTATTAAGTTCTCATTAAGTTAAAACAAAATTTAAATCATCTTTAAAAATGAACAACGAGGCGCCCCTCGCGATGCGAGCGTCTGCTACCACGCGTATATTATCATTGCAACTAAGTGGGTGATGTTTGCGTTTTGTGACTAAAATGTCCGGACTTTTATCGAAATGTCCACCTTTTCAAATTTTTAAATAGTAACCCTAGTTCCGGGATTTCCGGGCTCAGTGCGTACGGCACCCGTCGCTTGAGCGGGCGGGAGGACATGCAAGTATGACAAAATTCCGGTCTGACGTAAAATCCGGACGGAGTCCGGTCCAACACGTAAAAATCCGGTCTAGACCGGCTTTATCCGGTCAGATGGTAACCCTACTTTTATTAGTAAGTTGTGCATATAATTAATGTAGTTTTTACATTTAATAAAATAATATTTACCTTACTATAGTATTTTTTTTAAACTTTTACAAATGAAAAAATCTTATAGCTTGAAAACTTGCTTTTTGTGGGAGTCAGGAGACCAAAATAAGCAGACCCCGTTACTAAGGAATCTTCCTCTTCTATACAAATAATGTTCATACTTAATACCTATTATTTCCATTTAATAGCAAATACTGATACCATAAAAGTAAGTTATGAGTACGCACCACACCTTTATGAAATAACAAGCCATGCTGTTGTTATGTTACATTAATATAGGCTGCCGAATACATGACATGACAGAATAGCTATTTAGCCAATGTGGGCTGTTATTTAGGAACGCAGAGTTCAAACGGATATCCTTTCTACTTCGGTCCAAGGATAAATGCTAAATAGTTAAGTAGGTACCTGTCTAATACTATTTATGTATCATTTCATCGCTTTGTCGGGGCACCCCTCACATTCTAATGCTAAATTTGCTGGAATCAGTTGTTAATATTCTATAACTTGCGAACCCGACAGATGTTGTTCTGCCAATCATAAATAATTATCGAGAACAGCACTATTATTATAGAGTAGGGAGAGGTTCTAAGTCAAGTTTTCTTTAATTGCCTAATTTTCCGCTTAACTTTCTTTCTTTACACGATTACCCTAAAAATGTTTAAAAATTTTCAGGGTGTTTGTATGTATATTCAGTTACATTACAAACCAGAAAACTGCTGAGAAAAAAAGAAAAAAGCTGGATTTAATCGTTTAAGTCGTTCTAAAGCCATGGTGTGACCCACGGAAATGAGGACTAATTTTAAATACTTAAAGAGACGATGAGAAAGTCCTAAAACTGGAGCATAGGAAAAGTGAAGTAAAAATTATCAATATATTTATTTATAGAAGTACCGGTAGTTGAAGAGTTATAGAAGTGACCCCACTGGGTGTGGTGTCAAGTGCAAGTGGATGCCAAATGCGAAGGTATCTGGCATTTAGTATTTACAGAGTGGCGAGTGCTCTGGCTGACTGTAAAGACAGATATTGCACTACCCCTTCACCCTACACGTCTTGTCAGCGTCAGCATGAAATCTATGTCTTTCAAATGTGGAGTTCTGTTATCTACACACTGAAGGAGCGTAGTACTTTAAATGTAGCTCTTTTACACTCTGTTGGGACACAATCCTTCAAAATATTATTATTTAGCTACATCTTCATGAACCGGTTAGAGGTGAAGGCCATAATATGTGTTCTTACTTGTAAGCCATACTCTTTAAACATACTTGTATACCTATCCTGACATTAGTAGGAATCGTATTCCACTACAATATTAATTTTCACATAAGAATAGGCCCAGGTAAACACTTAGTAGTGGGTACTTAAGAATATTAAAATTTAAAATATAAGACTGCTGGTAGATAAAAACTTTATTAACAAAACATACCTATTATAGAAGTAAATTGCGTAAGCAAGTATCATGTAAAAATGATCGTAAATGCAGTTTTTTATATTGCTAATAAAACTGCTGTGTACAGTCCTTTCTACAATGAATTTTCAAGATTAATACCTTCATGCAAGGGCGCGGTACCCAAAACTACTGATATCGCAGCATAGGTATTTACAAGCTGTGGATTTATTTATACCATACAAGTCTCAAGCCCGGCACGCCTCTCGAAATATCGCGTTCCTGCAACTTCCGACGATTCAATGCGTGTGTGTGTCGGACGATTTCTTTTATTTCTGATTATAAAATGTGAACCCGCTGGAATGGATATTTCATGATATTAAAGAGTTCATTCATTGATATTGAAAACCTATTTTGGCGTCGTTATAGATAATACAGTTGTCAAACCTTCTGGAACTTGGGCCGAATCTGAATAGTCGGAATTCGGAAACAATGAAAATATCAGAGGAGGTGAGAATATTATAAATACTTACTTAATCACAAATCCAATAACATGATCTTTTCGAATGCCACCTTTATTTTCCTACTCATAGACCCAATGACCACGAGATCTACTTGAACGCTCCATCACTGTAACATTATCTAAAATATTACCATGACTCCATCTAGGTTCTTTATTTATTATCAATTAATATGAATAGTCCAAGACAAGAATTGTAATAAAATTATTTGTCTTTATTAATTAAGTTAGTAACTACGTAGTTGTTTGTGTATTACCTTTTAATTTGAATAGATTTATCGATCAACCATTAAACGGATACACTCACTTCAATAAAGTTTTATATAAATTGAATAACCATTACTTTCAGATAAATCACTCAACCAATTAGAGGGGTATTAGTGGATTGAATGGTCCTCACTGCAGCGCCAATAGGACCTATTGTGTATATACGGTCCATTAAGCTTGCC